TAGTTAAATCAATGAAAAATCCTTTTAGTCCAACCATTTTAGTAGTCTATTCGATCTGCATGTAGCAATCTATTTGATCCGCATATTAACATTCCTCTAGTCCACTCAAGGTGCCTTGGCAGTATAATGGTTATATGTTGGGCTGCTAACTGCAAGGTACGCAGCTCAAATCCACCAACCCCTCCAAGGGAGAAAGATGAGGCGTTCTACTCTCATAAAGAGTTACAGTTTCTACCTCGTCCTACAGCAGTAGTTCTCAACTTTCCTAATGCCGCAACCCTCTAATACAGTTCTGTTTGGGCCGGGTCTGGACTAGGCAGCCCCCATCTCCTCTCTGGGTCCTCAGGAGGATAGAACTTCAAGGCTCCCATTTCCAGCCTCTCGGGAAGATAAATGACCTACTGAAGTATGCATCTTCTGCCCCAGCCTTCCAAGGAGCTTATCTCTCCAGACCAAGGTTGTACAGTCCCTGTCCCAGCACTCCAGGGAGTAGGCTGGCAAACAACAAAGGCACTTCTCACGGATGGCATCCTGACTCAAGGTCCTGCAGCTGCAGGCAAAAAATCTCCCTTCTTGTTGTCAACGTATACCTCCCTAGCTCGAGCCCTATATATCGCCAACCGCCTCACCAACAAGCTGCGATTTCACTGACCTAACTTGTTGGGTCTCAGAACCCACCCAGGCGCCCAAGATGCCCCTGACCCTCTCTCTGCTCTCCCTTCCCTCCCGGGAGTTCTTTCCCTGCCCTAATAAAGCCGCTCTTAACCTCACGTCCTTTGTCTCAATCCGATCTCCGTTCTGTGTCTCAGTGTTGACCTCTCAAGTTGCTCATGTTGTGGTGACCCCCAACCATAAAATTATCTTCGTTGCTACTTAATAACTGTAATTTTGCTTGTTATGAATCGTAATGTAACTATCTGATATGCAAGATTATTAGGTGACCCCTATGAAAGGGTCATTTGACCCCCAAAGGGATCTGGACCCACAGGTTGAGAACCGCTGTCCTAAAGGGTCATTATGAGTCAGATTTGACTTCATGGCAGTTGAATTTTTTTTTTTTGGAGTCCACTCTCATGTGACAAAGGACCTGACATTCACACAGTGTTGGTGATGTCAACATTCCTACAAAAGAGGATAGATGGCTATAGCACAGTGGTTCTCAACCTGTGGGTCTCGACCCTTTAGGGGTCAAACGACCCTTTCATAGGGGTCGCCTAAGACCATCGAAAACACATATTTCCGATGGTCTTAGGAACAGCCACGGCTCCTCTAGTCTCCAGGCAGGTCTGCCCACATGCTGATATGCCCACCTACTAGTACCCAGCATGAAGACTGTGACCCATGCTACACCATGCTTCAAGAGAACATTTCATTTATTTGTCATTAGAAATAAATATTTCGCAATAAATAATTACATACTGTTCTTGTGATGAATCACTATGACTGAATTATGTTCAATTTGTAACAATGAAAATACATCCTGCATATCAGATATTTTCATAATTCCTAATAGTAGCAAGTTAACAGTTATGAAGTAGCAACGAACATAATTTTATAGTTGGGGGTCATCACAACATGAGGACCTGTATTAAAGGGTCGCGGCATTAGGAAGGTTGAGAACCACTGCTATAGCATGTCAAAGACGACAGACGGGACGTCTGCACTCAGTGGGTGGTCCTTTGCTACTCAGGAGTTTCTCCTGCAGCAGTGATTCCGAGTGCCGCCAAACACAGTTAATCTAGGTCTTCCCCAAACACCGAGTTTTGATGTCTCTTCAAGATATCACTAAGTCACAAGCATGTCATTCATTCTAGCTTCTGTAGGAACGTGGACATCACCAACATTGTTTGAATTCCTCAAATAGATAGCTAATCAGCATTTTTCTGGTTCTGGCGATGTAGTGGTTACACATGGGACTGCTAACAACGAGGGTAGCAGTTTGAAACTCCTGGGTTTCCGGAGTGGGTAATACCTTGGTTCTTTGCTTCACCCACTGAAAGAATTCACGCCAAAGCACGTTGTGTGATCCACGTGGGGTTTTATGAGGGACAAGTTTCAGGTCTTACAGTCTCAAAGGGATTCACAACTGGGCACAAACAACCACATGGAAAAAAGCACCCACACGTGCGGCACTGGGGGTAGGAGGGGGATCACAGGGACCCAGTGGTTGAGGGGGGAAGGGAAAGAGGGCATGGGGGCAAGACAACATCCTAGAGCGTGCTCCTTGCCTTTATTCTAGCCAACCCCTGGTTGGGGGAAGGCATAGTTGAAGATACTGGTTGTCCCCAATGGCTAAATTAAGCCCACCTAGGTGACGTCAAGAAACTGGGCCTAGTTTGGGCGCCCAGGTGTACCTCCCACCTGGCTTGAATATGAGCATGCTGTTTGGAGTCTTCATTGGTATCTAAAGGTTGCCTGTTCTTTCCAACCTCCTTTAGGGGAGCCTTTGCAGGTATAGAGGGGAGGAAATCCCCCCTCCCAATAAAACCAATTGATCCGCCAATGAAGGGCTTTGAATTCCCATAAAGCGCCAGTCTTGGAAACTCCCAGGAGCTGTTCTCAACTGTCCCGTAAAGTTGCTAGGAATCCATTGTGGATTCCTCCCCCAGCAATGAAAGCTATTTGCCTTCCAGGCTACCTGTTGCTGTTATAAATCAGTCCGGTGGTTTTTTAAAGTAGGTTCTAAACCAAGAAAACAGTAGGGAACCAGTTAAGACTGGTGGCCCAGCAGGGGGTTTCTGGGTGACCTTGACCCAACCACTCATCTCCGGGGGGCCAGTTTCCCTGTTCGTAAATGGTGGCTACATTTTACCATCTCTCTAGTGTCGCACCTCTCAAATTCTAAGGCTGGGGAACAGGAGCACAGAAAGCTCAGTTCTTCTGCCTCTCTTCTGCAAGATTCAGACCGTTTTATGGACTCCTCTGGAGAATTATTTTCAACAAATCTGCTCTTAGAAGAGTTTTGTCGAGTAGATGCTACAATTATTTATTCAGCAGGTAGCAGCATCCTTACTCTTACGGAGGTAATGGTTAAGTGGAGAGGGAGAGGCAGCCAGTAAGTACCACACACACCATCGTTTCTGTAGAACAAGTTTTTTATTTAAATTTTGCAAAAAGTTAGTGTGGTGGTAGGACTGGTGCTTGGTCACCCCACCCCTACCCCCCACCAAAAAAAAAGGGGGGGTGGGGGGAAGCGGTTCTGGCACAAAGAAAGCCTCATCTTCACCTTGCCGTTGCTGGCGGGCGCAAGGAAAAGCTGCCCGGGTGGGGCAGCAGTCTTCCGGTGTTCAGTCTGTTTAGGCCGAAAGGGGACGGGAGAGGTCAGTCGGCTGAGTCCCTGGCTCGGGAGGCCTGCCTCTTGGAAGGTCTGGGTCGCCGCCTCGGGTGAGCATCCCGGCCAGGTCTCCAGTAGGGGCCAGGCGGCATACACCTAGGGAAACCTCTGGAAATGACGGGGGCCCGGTGCTGGTAATAGGGTGGGTGCGGGTGGGGCGGGTGCGACGGGGGTCTAAACACCAAGTCTCCCTCCGTGGCAAATTCCGCATTCGGCGGTAAGGGGACATCCATGTGAAAACAATTGGTGAATTGATCCGATGGGGGCGGCTGGTCTGAGAAGAAGCAGGGCTCTTGGGCATAGGGTAAGAATTGGGGCGGGGGAGGGGGGCACGGGAGGGCCA